AAGTAATTAATCTTTTAGGTAATATTTCTGTTTTTATAAGTATAAGTACTTCCTTCTTTACTTTATACTATATAGGGTTTTTTCTTATCTCTCTATAGTAGCCTTAGTTTATTAACCGTTTTAAGGGAAATAAGGTTTATAATAGCTTTACTATCTATAAATATATTTAGCCACTTACCCTTAATTCTAACCTTTAAGTTTAGGTATATTTATTATTATTTATTAATTATAGTTTATAGAGCTTTTATAGGAAGTTTATTTTTTACTACTCTTTTGCTTATTTAGCGCTTTATTATAAATAGCAGGTTCCTTTTCCCTATAGGTAATTATAGCTATATTTGCTTTTATAGTAGTTAATATTATTAAGGCAATTATATTATATAGCTAGTTTATATTAAACCTTTACCTTTACTTCTTATATTAATTATTCTGTTTTATTATTATATAGTAGTGTTTTATCTATTTAGCTTATTTTAGGGGTATTATCTTATTTTTTTTCTAGCTTATTTACTTCTATAATAGCTTTATAGATATCCTTATTTAGGTTTTCCTCTTTTTTATTTAGTTTATTTTAAACATATTTTCTCTATTCTATAATTTATTTAGAGTTTTGGATATAGTTTAGGGCTTATTTTTATATTTTAGTATATACTATAAACTTAATCACTTAAGTCCCTTTATATCTTCTAGCAATTTAATATCTTAAGGTATTAATAATTAAATAGGGTTTTTATTTTTTATATTCCTTAATTTATACTAAAAAGTAATTATTTACTTCCTTACTTTATTAATATTATAGGCAGTAGTGTTATATATATAATATCTAGAATATCTATTAATAATCTAGATATTTTAAATACCTCTAAAAGTCTCTTTTAATTTAAACTTCTTCCTTAGGTATTATTAGGTCTTCTACTTTATCCCTTATATATAACTGAATATAAATAGCATTATCTTATTCTATAATTACTCTTTTTTTGGCTAGTTCTATATATCTAATTGCCCTACTAGGCTATATTTAGTTTCTAAATTTATTAGATTGTAGTATATAATTTATATTCTAAATAGTTTAGTCTACTTTTCTTTTAATTTTCTTAATTTTAAAGTCTTAAGTGACTTTTAAGGCTAATATATAGTTTAGATCGTTATAGTATCGGTTAGGTCGTTTTATTATAACTCTAATAGAAATATTATCTATTATTATATATAGGTTATATTATATAGTACCTCCTTCTATCTTAAGAGATACTCTTACTTTATTAAATATTTATAATAGCGCTTCATCTATATTTTTATCAGAGATTAAGTTAATATTAGGTTTATTATCTAGATTAGGGTCAATTTCTTTTCCCTTTCTAACCATAGTAATAGTTTTTCCTTTAATAGGTAGTATTTTTTATTCTAATACTAATATCTATTTTAGGTAAATTATCTAATCTTCCTTTTTCTTATAATACAGTTTCTTCTTATTTTTATTAATTTTTATTTTTTATTCTTTTAGGTTATTTTAATATAGAATTTCTATTATTAGTATAGCATATCCTAGAACTAGTCTTTATTCTTTAGGAATATTTAGGTAATACTTATTAAGTGTTTCTTTCTTACTTAAGAATAGGTTATATACTTAAATGGCCTTAAGTAGGCCTAATCTATTATATCTAGATTAGGTTATATTAATAGTTTAAATGGCTATCTATAGTTTACTATTATTTTTATTCTTTTTAATAGTATTTACCTTTTTACTTTTAGGAACTTAAGGTATTAGTTTATATTTCTAGTTAGTCTTAATAGGGTTTTTATATTTAGGGTCCTTATAGCCTTTCTTACTATAATTCTAGTAAGTAAGCTTTAATTTATCTCTAGTTATTATCTTAATAGTTATTAGTTTAGATTTAATTCTATAAGAGGTATTATTATTTTATTATCTTTTTTAGTTTGCATTATAGTAAGGTCTATTTCCTTATTATCTTATATTATACTTATTATTTTAAGTTCTCTATATATATTAATAGTTATTAATTTTTACTGCTATCCTAATATACTTAACTAAGGTATTAGGTCTAGGTATTTTATATAGTTCTATTTAAATAGTTTCTTTAAGTTTATTAAAAAAGAGTAATATAAGTATATTTTAATCTTAGGGTAGCTTTAATGCCAGCTATTAATACTTTACTATATACTTAAAAGTTAATTTAGTCTATCTTAAGGATTTAATGCATTATTTAGTATATCCTTTTTTATTAATTATTCTAAATGCTTATTTAAGTGTATTTTTAAATACATTAAAGTTATTATAAAGTATAAACATTTAGGGTTATTATTCTAATTTAGGTTTACTGATATAATCCTCTATAATAGGTTAGAACTATTATATAGCTATACTCTTAAGGCATCTTACAATATATATAGTTTTAGTAAAATCTCTTTTAAACTAAATTAGGTAATAGGTTATAAAGGCCTTATATTAGGTAAGGAATATAACTAGCTTATTAGGGGTTCTATTAAATAGCTTAGGCAGGTTAGGCTTAAGTATTTCCCTAATATCTCTACCTATTACTATAGTATTTATAAGGTTTTATATTTCTTAAAGTCCGTTCTGGTTATTAGTCGCCTATTAGGCTTAAAGGTTTATAATTTCTATAAGTATTTAATAAAGCTTAGCTATTTTAATAGTTATATTAGTGACTTACTGTTAAAGTTAAGTAATTTCCTTATCTTTTTCTTTAGAAGAGTTGTTTTTATTATTTCCTATAATTTAGTTAGTAAGAGGATTATTAGCAGGGATAGTAAGGTGCTATTAGGTAGGTTAGATTAATACAGCCATTACATTTATATTATTTAGCGTAATGCAGTATAATCTAAATAAGAGCTATTAATATATAACGGTTAGGTCTAACTGTATTAAACTAAGCTGTATTTAGGTTTATTGTTAGCAGATTATATAGGGTATAATATTAAGTGGTTATTAATATATTATATCTCTTAATAGTAGATTTAATATATATTAGGCTTAATTAATATAAAGAAGTTTTATTAATAGCTGGTAAGCTAAATCTATAGAAGTGTAAATAAGTGTAAACTATATATTACTATTATAAAGGTATTTAGTGATACTTCTATTAAGGATTAAGATATTAGTTATTTGGTTTTAGACTGATATTGCGTTACTTCAGTCCTGTTGTAACTGGTTAAAGTGGATAGATTGAGAAGGATCTTATTCGGTCTAGTTGTAATTAGTGGAATTTATAGAGAAATTTATGGGGTATATATGACGTAACCGCGAGGGTCGTAACATTATATACTTATAATAAAGCTTAAAAAGAAGCTATTATAAAGTTAAATGCCTTAACTAGCTAGAAAGTAACTAGACTGTAGCCAGTTAATCTGGTAAAGGTCTTAATAAACCTAATAGTTACTTAAACTTTTAAGATACTAGCTCCTATTATTATAGCTATTTCCCTGATAAAAGGAAAGAATTTCTATCTTTTAATAATGCCCTAATTATCTATATAGCTTTATTAGGTCCTTTAAGCTATCCTAAGCGTTATTTTTAATAACCTAGCTATTAGGCTGCTTTTCTATAAGATTAGCAGTTAATTAAACAGTTATAACTTCCTTATTAAACGCTAAAGAAGAGAAATTATAATAATACAGTTAGAATGAGAAGAATATCTATTAAAAAAGAGGAAGAAAGTTATATATAATAGAAATGCTAAGTTTATAAAGGTTCTGGCGATTTTAAAGGCTTATAAATAAATATAAAAAGTATTATAATTAAGAAAAATATTAAAATATATCTAAAGAATAAAATTTAAAGATCTTTATATTTAGTTTTATCTAAATATTTACTAATATAAATTTTATTTAATTAGAAAAATATAGTGGTGGTTAATTAATTACGTTTCTGATGATATCTTGTTCTTGGTGTTTTGTGGAGGGTGGCCGGTTTCTGGGGGTGGCCGGTTTCCCCGTATCCGACGTTATAGATAAAAAGCTTATGGCTTACCTGTCCCAGTCTCACTCTATTAAGAAGGAAAATACATCCAGCCTGGTAGATTGGCCTACTGATGTGGTATTGCAACCTAACTTAGGAAGCATAGGGTGGATCAGGTGACTGTATGTATCTTCTTAGCCCGCCCTTTCCGGCCATGGCCTATTTCCGGGAACAACAATGCCCAAGAATCAGAACCTTTGTTACTGTAGAACAGTGCGACAGCAATCTGGTTATTATTTGCCTTTGCCTTCTCACATAGCTGCTAATAACCTTAGAGCCCCTGATTTGTAATAACTCTTTGTTTTCCCTATCCAGATTAATAACCCAGCACTCTCGAGCTAGACCTTCTGCCCATAAAGCTAGGCTTTAGGCTGTAAAAACAGAACATAAATAACAACACGATTTTTTTCTCCTTAATGTAACCTTTTATATCTCTATATTTATAGATTAATAAGAATATTTCTTTTATAATTATAAGTATAAAAGCTATATTTAAGAGGGTAGAAACTTATATATAATTTTATATAATATTATTTTCTTTAAGTAAATAATATTATCTTATATCTATAGATAATATTATTACTACTTACCTACATGTAGTATAAGTTTTAATGCCGCCTAGAAGCTATTTAGAACTACAGTTTAGTTATATATAAGGTATATAATTTAAGTATAATCTATAGGGTCTATTAATTTAAAATAGTACTTTTATTAAATTAGTCCAGACAGTAAACCAGCTATATATACAGCTAACCAAGACATTTGAGCTACTCTTGATCTCGCTTTGTGTTTTCTTTAGTTGAATCGCCTTATCCAGTAGGTGGCCAATCATTTCGAGGCACTTGACGCCGAGGCGTATCTAGTTGTGGCTGTGCACCAACGAGGCGTTAAACAGGGCTGCCTTTTTTTCAAGGCGTTCCCAAAATTCAGGCTGCATCCAAATAATCGTGTTCTCATTTTATCTCATCACATTGCACTTGCGCACAATTGACTTTGTGGTCTCGAAATGGACGTTGACGATCAAGAGGTTGGACGACCCTGCAAAAGGATACGCCTGCAATCATCGGAGCCCGACATTGTTTATGATAATTTCGGAGATTCTCTCTTGTCAGACTACGAATTGTTTCGTCAGCTCACGTGCGACAATGGTTTCTCAACCAGCATCTCAGAGCCCACAGAAGAAGACAAGGATGAAAGAGGGTTTGACCTTGGAGGCGAGGCCCTGGTCACAGAGACAGTTCGCCATGTTTGCCTCGGAACGGTAAACCTCAAGATAATAACTTGAGATGGGTCCTGACTTGTAATAGATAACGCCAAAGACCGCATCGTCATACTTTAAGAACCGACAAGAGTCAGAAGCCATGGTCAACATACGGCAGTGTGGCAGTATCATAAAGCTGAGTACGGCTGACACAGGTGCATACGCCGGCCTCGTTACAGACTTTCCGCCGGACTTGCTGCAACGCCCTTCGGTGAAGGTCAGCGCTGTGTTGACTGCACCAACGTCCCTCCGCGTCATAATTCTCAGCCATATCGAAGAAGCAGCGGAAATTGGAACTCTCTTATCTAATAATGACCTTTTCCTTCAACATCCGTCATCCCGGGACATTGAATACTTTGACCTGGAGATGGAATACTTCAATCCTCATTACCTTGTTATTCCAGGATCTCGTATGCCGCAGTTGGAAGATCTTGCTATTGAATACAACGACAGTGCATCGGCTGATTCTCTTACGCTGGATGAACAGAAAAAAGGTCAACTGATAGGCATTTTCGACACTGCGGCTGATCTTTCGATCCGACCCACGACCGAGCCAAGCCCGCGTCTACAGACTCGCCTGAAAGAGTAAGCTCGAGAACATCCTTGGTCAGTCATCAGGAACTAATGCAGTCTAGCTACCAACTCAAAGCTCTCACATTCATGAGCGAAAAGGAATGCACCAACGTTGAGAGTCCTCAATGTCCTTCGCTCTGGGTTGCACGGGATGCATCCAATGGCAAAGACGGGTATGAAATCGCAACCAAATTTGCGGACTGAAGTCTAAGAAGAAGCAGAGAATATCGCCACAAGATAACAGGGCATAGGGCTGATGTTGTGCCCATTTGTGCTGGAGGCATTCTTGCTGATGTGAGAGGACCGTCGCATCCTCACTTTGCTTACCATGCAGAGCTGACCAAGTTTAATTCACAGGAGATGGGACTTGGTAAAACACTCTGCGTCCTATCCCTCATTTGCTGGTCGCTGGACTCGTTACGAAATGCAGAGGCTCAAGAGAACGGTTCTGAGTCACTTACAACATTAGTTGTCATACCCAAGAGCAGTACAGTCCGCGGCAACCCCATAGCACACCTTTGACTAATAACGAGCAGTGATTCCTGGCTGGCAAGCCCAGATCGCAAGGCACATGATGCCAGGTCAGATCCGTGTTGCCTGTTATCATGGAACTGGTAGGCAAAATATTGTCAGGCAGTTCCGAGATAATGATATTGTCCTGACAACGTATCAGACCTTGAGATCTGAGTGGACTAACACGGGTCCCTTATTTAGAGAGCCATGGTTCCGTGTTGTCCTAGATGAAGGTCAGTATTGTCATCTTACCACCTTGTATATGAGGTTAATGGTAGCAGCCCATCGCATCGGTAACAGGTCAACTCAAGTCTTTCAGGCCGCATGTGAGCTTCAATCGCTTAGGCGCTGGTGTCTCTCGGGAACTCCTATTGTGAACTCCATTGATAACTACGGAGCATTACTGGCCTTCATCAAGATGAATCCTCTGGATGTAAAGTCCAGATTCGATCATTGGATAACCAATTCGATTCGAGATAATGAACAAGAAGGCCTTCGAAAGCTCCGGACCCTAGTTGAAGCAACGTGCCTCCGTAGGACAAAATCTAGCATTTCGCAGGCCCTCCCTCCTCCAACAATTCACGAAGAAAAGGTCGAGCTACATCCCTATGACCGCGCTCTTTACGATTTCTTCGAATCAGAAGCAGCAAAAAACGCCGCCGATTCTTCCAAAAGCAATCGTGCCAACCCCTCAGCGACAGGTAGAGAAAAGAAGAATGTTTTGTCTCTAATCCAGAATCTTCGCCGGATTTGTGATCATGGAGAGGATCTTCTACCTGCTTCGGAAATTGAAGCTTGGAATTTGCAGAGATTGCAAACGCCAAGTATGCATGCTAGACAGCAGGCTGGAACGACTTATAGTGTTGATTCATACGGCGAAACATTACCATCTGCTAAGGTGCAAAAATTGATACAAAAGCTTCGATTAGAACAAAAAAGCAACTTGGAAGAATCCTCATTTCCACCAGTAAAAAGGTAAGAGTATCGAAAATAAATAGATAGATATTGCTAATTGCGATCAGTGTGGTTTTCAGCTACTGGACAAAGATGCTCGATCTTGTACAAAAAGCTCTTTTCGAGGCTAACATCTTTTGTGAAAGAATCGATGGCCAGTACTCCATTAAACAACGAGAGAAGGCGCTGTCTAGATTTGCAAACGACCCTTTCTGTACTGTAATGTTGGCCACCCTTGGGAGTGGCGGCGAAGGGTAAGTGACTAGGGGTTTTGAGTCAGCGAAGGCTAACATTATAACCTTGTTTAGCATTGATCTAACCTCAGCTAATCATGTACATCTTCTTGAGCCTCATTGGAACCCCATGGCGGAAGAGCAAGCCATTGCACGTGTTCATAGGATCGGCCAACAGCGGCACGTCACGGCCACCAAGTATACCACTCCAGACTCAATCGAGGAGGTAAGTGGTATCCACATAAGTTTACTACTGAGGTCAGTCGCTAGTAAACATGGTCTAACTTCTGTTGGATAGTATGTTCAAAGCATTCAAATTAAAAAAACGCAGCTTATTCAGGATACTTGGAGTGTCAATGATGAATCTAGAGGGAATCTTATTGACAATGAGAGTTCAAGGGTAGGTATTGATACTTAAAGACAAAGAGACCTCGGACTAACTGTTTCCAGAAGCTTGAGGAATGGCTTGCTCGGAAAAGTGATATGTACATCTAACCCAACTCTCAGTCACTGAAGGGATCCTGATTTTCCTTCTTCTCGTTTCTGTGACGTTCCTCTTTAGTCTTTTCAACCAACTGTTCCCAAGTCAGCCCAAGCCATTTTGAGACTTGCCGTGCTCCTTTTTCGTCCCCAATACTCTTTGTTTTCGTCCCTTTGTTAGGGTCTGCTCCTCGAAGTAGTAAGAATTCCATAAGCTTTGCTGCTTCTTGCGTGGTCTTCCTCGCTGCGACATGTAAGGCGGTTGGACATGCAGAATTATACTGATCATCGACTAGACAGCCGTGATTCAATGCATACTGTGTTAAATTGATGGAACAACTTGAGTCAGCAATTCTTGACAGAATCTTTCTTCGCTCTCGTGGTGTTAGTGCATCCAGAACACCGAACTCGTCCCAAATATCGAGTAGCATGCGTTCGTAGTTCGGGATATTATCAGCGTTCGCTATAACACCTTGAAATGCAAGCCCTTGTGCAGCGTCCGCAGCTGCCCCTGTCACACCAAACCCTGTAGCCAGGTCAACTTTCCATAAGTTGAAAAGCTCCTGGGACTTGACTGCGATAATGGTACACAGAATGTCCTTGAACGTCAGCTGAAAATTCCCCTTCTCGAATCCCTGTACCGTTATTTCTTGCGCGGCAATCCAGGAGAGCAAGAATTTTGATAGGCTGACACTCTCACTTTGTATCGCATAACAGGCTAGATCAGTAAACGCCTTCCAGTTTAGAGAACTGTTCAAAATGAAAGCGCTTGTGAGTAGACCACGGCTGTGAAAGAGTTGCAGGATGGAAGAAGAACCCATTCTAGCAGCATGGATTGAGAACTCTCTTTGCACTGAACGCCCCACGCCATCCAGTCGAGGAATCAGTGACATTATAATGGCCACCTGATTAGTGTCGATCAAATCGAACATGAGAGGTTGGATTTCTTCATCATCGAAATCCTCAGGAAGGCCAGGGTGTGGCGAATGAGGATCTATAACGTCAACATTTGTATGGCCGTGTTTCAGATGGTTATCTCTCATCCTGCGCGAGACGAACCCCCTGGAAAAGTACCGGCAGTCTGGGTAGTTACATGTCCAGGGCTTCTGATGATGCTTTTCGTGAGCTTGACGACTTGCCTTTGTCTCAAAACCATAGCGCCGATAGTGGCAGCCCAAAAACCCGCATTTGTAGTACCTAGGGCCATAATGGTAAGAGAGCAATTCAACAATCGATTGTCCTTTATTAACGAGGCTATCGAGCCGCTTATGGAGCGAAATTGAGAATTTGGGAACGAACAGCGGGCTAGTGTGAAACCACTGCTCTGCTGTGATCATATTAGTAATTACCACCAGATTTTAAGTTCAGTGAACCAACAATCATTGAGCTCAAAGTCTGACTTGAGCAACGATGTCTGAAACTTAGTACAGCTCTTTAGCATACCTACCAAGGCAGGCTCCTGACACTCCAGGGCAAGAATGGCTGAGTGTAGGCAACTTTCGCTTTGATCAGTCTCAGTGTAACGATCTGATGAGCGTGTCTCGAGAAGGAGTTTCAGTTGTTCGATAAGAGTGTCGGGCATAGTAGTCGAGTGAGATAAGAGTAAATATTTGTGGATTAAGTAAAGCCAGAAGCTCGATGAGAAGTGATGCAAGCGATATGCCCCCCAAAGTATGTTGGCATCAATCTCATGGTCTGTAAGGTCTAAGTCATGGTGGTCCTGGCAAATATACACCACGCAGCGAACAGCCAAGTCAAGTGCCATCTCAGAGAGAGAAATTGAGTTTTTAATCTTGGTGTCGAAGATGTATCTGACTGTTGTTAGTCACCGAAAGATTTTGTTTTCTTTTGACGTACTCTTGAACCGTAAAATGCACGAATTGAACATAGCCGTCGACTATATCTACGATTGGACCGCATATCCGTAAAACGTTGACTTTCGCTTGAACTTTCGGTGGCTTGTAAGGACAATCAGGGTCAACAAGCAATAGCTGTTCTATTTCTTTCAGTGTCATCGGTGATGGGGCGCATCCCACCCAGCCAAGTATCGAGCGAGCAAGGGTTCTTCTTTGGGGATCTGAACACGCATTAATTTCGTGTAAAATTCTGCCGTAACCAGGCAAAAGTTAGCAACGTAACAACTATATGCACAAAGCACATACGCATCATCGAGAGAAGATGGGAGATTCTCGAGTTGAGCTTTTATGTCTGCGATGTCGTTGACATAATATATCATTCGGAAGATAACCTTGACATAAAGAAACATTCCTATTATAGTGTCAGAGGTGCTTGCTACAATGATTTGAGTTTGTAAACGGGCGGGATAACGAAAAACCAACCTTGTGCTCGATATGCTAGTGATGCAGCCCATCCTTGAAGCTGGTCTCGAACGTCTGAAACGAAGCTCCTGTCTTTGAACCATTCTCTCATGGTTTGGTTGATGAAAACTTGAATACTGCTAGCGTTATTCTTGTCCACCTCTATATCTATAGCATTGCCGTCCAAATTGTCCAAAATGTCACTGTCGTTACGGCTCGTGAGCATGATGTGGCACTCTTCACATTCTCTACTCAGACTCATAAGCGCTTTTATCAGTCTTGAGTGTTCTTTAGAATTTATCTCATCCAAGCCGTCTATGATGAGATATACAGTACCTGCGCTCTGAATGAGCGATTTAAACAGAGCTGAAGCGACATTGAAATCACTTCCCAGATGTTGCAATTCCGACTGACATATCATTGTTTTCAAGGAGAGAGAGGTAGAGGTCAGTTGGAATATGAGTGAATGGAGGATAGAGAGTGCAGAAATGCTACTGTCGCGGTATGTGAGAAATGCGAATCCAGTATGGGCACCGGGCAATTGCTGAGTATGCTTAATCACGCTACTTGCCAGCAGTGTTTTACCTAATGGAGCAGCCAATTAGTAAAAACCTCTAAGATCACATCATGACTATAGGCTTACCGGCTCCTGGAATACCTCGCAGCCATAGAGTGGGCTTTGATTTCTCTTCACCGGTAAGCCACCTCTGGAATGAGGCATCTTTATACAGCCATTTTCCAGTGCCGTCACAAAGCGCCTCGCTGAACCGATAAAGGTCGCCATCGTAGCTCTTAGGCGAGATATGTGCTCGATGACTCGCATGTTCCTGTGCGATGTTGTTCTCCTCCGTCTGTATGAAATGCTGTAATTCCCGATCACGCATTTCGTCTGCCCTGCGTATCTCCTCCATACAAACTTCCTTTCGGATGAGGTCGCGATGGCTTGCCATGTGTCTTACCACGACCTGTATTTTGTCTCTGTGGCTTGGCCAGAACATCTCAAACACAACTTTGAGACCTTATTCATTATCAACCCAGGTTGCGGTATGAGAAGTCTGGGTAACTTACGGCGCATGCCGAAGAATTTGGCAGAAATCAAGTAGAACTGGAGAATATCGCGGAAATACAGCACCAACAGTTCCTGCAGACGATTGTTATCGGCGAACATTTCGGCCAGTTCGCAAAAGTCGGGCAGAGCATTGCCAATTTCTTCAAGTGCATTAATAAGAGCATCAGAAGACTGTTTCAGAACATCGGCCCATAGCAATAGGAGCTTGATCGGGCCCCATAGCAGCGCGAGGATATCGGGCTTGGCCTGCACGAACGTTTCCACAACACTACTGTATTCGCGAAGTCGAGCTAGAAACGGTTCAATCTTGGATAGATGACGAAGGCGACCGGATTTAGCCTGCTTGTCTTGAAGCTTCTCGATATCCTGGTGGACTTGCTCGATGCTAGTCGTTTGGATAATTTGGTCGTAGAAACTATGGCCTTTGAGCTTGTCCTTGAAATCAATCATCGCCGCTTGAAAGGCGCGCTGCGTTGCAGTCATGATGTTTCCGGTCAAACCAGGTGCATCAGAATGAGAAGTATCGAGCTGTGGCATAAGCAATTTTTGTGAAAGATGTTAGGCGAAGAACGATGCGGGGGTTGAAAATGAGGCGGCAGAGTCAGGCTGAGCGAGGCATACTCGACAGCTGTTGGTTGCAAATTTTTAATTGCATATATTACATGGTGATATGTTAGCACGTATTGCCAATTTATGGATGCAAGTGGTAGGCAGCATTTGCAGTGAAGTTCATATCAGCGATTCTGCCTTTCATATTTTTGCGTCGACTTGATCGATGTCTAATGCGCGGCGTGCTCAAAGTGGTTTATAGGGTACACTTCTACAAATTTTCATATGTAAATAAATCTCTTTTTCGCACAAATATGTAAGATATGCAATTAAGAGATATCAATTAACGACGTTTGTGCCTTGCGCAGCCTGATTTTGCGGCCTCATTTTTCATGCAACCCCCGCACCTTTTCTCGGCTGCACTTTTCTTTTTTACAGCTGCTTCACCGTGATTCTCTTTGAAACCTCACTAGCACCTGGAAGTTCTTCTGGTCGAAAGGTTGTCAGCATCATGTCGGGCGCCGAAGCTGCCCTCCTTGGAGTAGGCATTCTCTGCAATGCGATGCAGATAATGACCTTTGCCAAGGACTCCATTCATGTCTATCGCAATATTCGAGATGATCGAGCTCCAGACCCAAAACTAGACTCATATCTGAAGAATGCGAAGACTTGTTTCAATGAGATGAACCAAACTGCGGCACAAATTGGACCACTGGGCCAGACTCAGCAACAAATTGTCGATATTGGCAAAAGAGTGCATGACTGCGTGGATGAGCTTCAGCAACAGTTTGCCAGACTTCATGTTGATGAACCTCGAAGAAGAGGGCTTCGTGGCACAGTGGCTGCAACGAAGAAAAGCGCACTAGCACTATGGCGTGGAAAGGAACTTGAAGATGCCGAACAGAACCTTGGGCGCCACGAACGGCTCTTGCACGGTCTCCTCTTGGACCAGGTTTGCAGTCAAGTCCACGCCGCTGAGATCACCTCTTTACAGGCTTTCCAGCACCTTGACGAGGCTTTGAGGAATATCATCTCGCAACTGGTCGACGGCTCCACGAAGGTCTCAGACCTGGTCTCAAATTTCTCGGCACATATTAGTGATCGCGTTGCAGATGAGCACATAACTACCAGAACTATCATTGGAGACCATGTGACCTCGACTGAAACTACAATCTGTCACACTATGTCTCAGTCGATCGATCAGCTTCGTCAGGAATTACTCAAACGTGAGCAGGATAGGGCTTTTGAGAAACAGTATGAGCAACTTCTATCCAGTTTATGGTTCCCATATATGAAAGAACGCAAGAACCATATTTCAAAGAATTATCCCGGAACCCTTGTGTGGATCTTCGATCGACAGGGCTCACTGGAGTCGGATTGTAGCTCTGAATATGATCAGTCAGATACGGACAGTGAACTATCAGAAGACACCCAGCACAGCGATGCTGAGACCACTGACGAGCGAGGCTTCAACAATCTTCCGGACTGGTTAGAATCAGACTCGAATGTGTTCTGGATTAGTGGTAAACCAGGATCCGGCAAAAGCTTTCTTATGAAATCCCTTGCTTTCAATCATCTGACAGTCAAACATCTGAAAGTCTGGCGCTCCGATGTACGGATCCTTACGCATTTCTTCTGGAAGCCAGGTCAACTTTTGCAACGAAATGTGGAAGGCATGGTCTTGTCGCTCCTCTGCCAAGTCCTGGACGGCAAGACAGGCCTGTGTCGAAGGCTGTGCACAGCCCAGCCTCTTGTGAAGTCGAAGAGAAGCCATTCGGACTGGAGTCTCGATGAGCTAACTGAGGCCCTAGTTTGGTCACTGGAAGCTTCCCCCGAATCTTTTTGCATCTTCTTGGACGGCTTGGATGAGGCAAAAGAACTTGAACATCTGCCTTGGCCCGATTGGACAAATGCTCAGGTCATTCACAAGCTGCTGAAAGTGAATGATGTCAAGCTATGTGCATCCAGTAGAGAGGAGCATGCTTTTTGCTCGTTTTTCAGAAATGCGCCCCAACTGAAGATACAAGAGTTCAACAATCGCGACATCACTCTTTTCGTTCGCGAACGGCTGGATATTTGTGGGCTTGAGTGCCGCGAACGAGATGAACTTGTACGGGAGACTGTTAAAAGCGCTGAAGGCGTCTTTCTGTGGGTAGCTCTTGTGATAGACCGTCTGAACCTGGCCATCCGCCATAACTACACAATCGAGATGCTTCAAGAAATTCTCAAGCAGACCCCCTCGGATTTAACGTTGCTCTTTACCGATATGTGGGATAGGATCGGAGACGATGCCAAGCTACTGAGCATTCAGATGGCTGCGTCTCGATACTTCAATCTCCTCATCATTGCCAGAGAGATCGATGAGTATTTATCGAAGAACAGCGTCTACTGGCACCCAGTGCCAATGCGCATGACTTCATTGTTAGTCATTGCAACAGCTGCCCAGGATCAGCCAATGGAAGCAATATTGAGAACAGGCCGTGTGATAACAGTTGAGGATCTACTAGTCGTGTTTTCAAAAGCTGAGAAGGAGCTGAAATTAGCTAGCCGTGGTCTCCTTGAGGTAACCAGTTTTTCCCAGGATTCATGTTATCCTGTGATTGGAGACCAACGGCTACGCGAATACGAATTGAAGCAAGTCAATTTCATTCACAGGAGTGCTTTCGACTTTCTAATGGATACAGAGGCCGGTCGTAAGTGCCTCCATGCCTGTGGCTCGACTAGAAGTGACCAAGCTTCAAGGCTAGTGGCCGCGCATCTAATCAGGGCTCGATTCATTACACTGAGACATCGTTTCGTCTATGATCCAACGGATGTTTACAAGCTGCCACTCTACCAAGAAGCATTTCGCAACAATTATTTACTGATGGCCATTGCTATCTCTATTAGCCCTGGTCTATTTCCAGAAGCGACAGTCCGAGAGGGCTTGCTTGATATTCTGAAAGAATGGCTGCTATCTGGATTGTTCAGCGGCCATTCACGCTGGTACGAACGGCTCTCTTTTCACTCGGTTTCCAGCTCCTTCGATCTGGAGTTAGTAGCAGCGAGCATAACTATCGCGTTGCATGATATAGTCTTTTGGGATTGCAGCATGGATATGAAGAAGTTCCTTGATAAATATCCTGGGGCCCTATTCGTCGATGCTATACCGACTATGCTTCACGCATTTACAAGACTACGCGGGACGCCGCTGTACTCTGGCGTTTTCGTCGAGCTATTCAAATATATCATTCACCGCTTACAACACATAGCTACGGAAGAGGCACAGCATCAATGCGCTGCTAGAAGTTCCATCCCGAACCTGCACTCATGGTATATCACTTTTTGTTTGAACGAATTGAGCACACCTGACAGGGCTAAAATGCTCGTTGAATCTCCAGCCGTGGAGCTTCTGGGTGAACTGAGGGATACGCTACTCCTTGAAGAAGATTGGCACTATCCTTTCTTACTTGAGTTCCATAGTAGCCACTCATTTGAAAGCTTATTTGGCTTTTTGCAAAGGGAAAACGTTTATACTGTCAATGGTCAGATTGCCATCGTTATTGGAAACTTTACTACTGCCTACCAGTTGTTCGATGAGGGCTTACTTGAGCATTCTTTGAGCACTCTTGACATTCAGATTCCACAAAGTGTCAGGTTTCGATTCGACGTCATACTTATTGGCGACTTGGCCGCGGGATCCAACAGCATCAGTTACTGCTACGTCCCTGAGGCAAGGTTTTACAACCAGATCGAAAGTTTCTTGCGTGGAAGACTACATGAATCCGTGCCCTTTTGCGAATTACAATCCTGGCCTTTAGTCTTGAACTGCTCTGGCATTGAACTGAGCCCCATAGAGACTTCTAAAGCTTCGAAGTATGTGATACAGGAGTTAGAGGAAAAGGACGTGGATCTGTCGCTCCGGGAAAGCATTATCGCGTCATTATACCTTCAGAACAGAAAAGAATAAATTTTAAAAGAAATTATTAGTAAATTGACCTTTCGGTCTTTTGATCTCTCGCCCGCATAGTCGCTGCCTGTCAAGCCTGTATTTACAACGAAAACTCCATCGGTACCGCCATTAATGCTTATGCTTATCCCAGAACTTGAGTCTATATGTTTACTTAAATGGATAGTAATTCTTAGGAACTAACTCGTCTGTGGACTTTATATTAAGGCTAAAAGGATTTAGTATAGTTATCTATATTGACATTAGCTTTAGAGGCCGAAATAATTATATTAGTTAAATTTAATTTATATATAATACTATATCTAAAGGATATAAATTAAAAATATCCTACTTAGCTTTAAGTACTTTAGTATTATAATTATAATTTATAATTAATCTATTTTATTATAATCTTTTAATTATTTTCTAGATAATATTAAAGATATTTTAAAATATTTTAGATTTTAATTTAAGTTATATAATTATACATAAAAAATAATAATATTATAAAATCATAAAGTATTAAAAAAGAAATACTATAAAGAGTTTAAAGAACTATTAATATATAAATATATATATTAACTATATATTTTTTCTTTCTATAAAAAACTCTTCCTTTTATAGTTTATATTTATAGATCGATCTATTATAAGGACAGCCTTATATATATTATGCCTTAAATATTTTATACCCTAGCTGATAAATATTGGCAGCTTGACCTACCTTTACTCGACCTTGAGAAGATGAGACAATAACGTCATTTCAACGCAAGGCGGTGCATCGTTATGGCAGAAGCAGAGCATCTAATCTAGACAAGAAGTAATTCATTGCCACAATGCCAATCTTATTACACATGCCGCGTTTCCGCTGCCGCACCAATAGCCAAAGCCTGTTCACCGTAGGCTTGATTTCCCTCGCAAACAACCCGAAAGCTAAGCCTCGCCAAGCACTGGGTACACGGATACTGAGTCATCTCGGCCGTCTCATCACACTTGCATGTGTCCATCATGCGCCAAGTGGTTTCTCCGCTTGAAGTAAAGCCTTGTATATATGTTTATCATTCCGGTCCGACAAGAGCATCACGCCACATACTCCTTTCATTACCATAAAGTATAATAATTAATTAAAAAGATCTTCTGTAACGATGACGTGTATTCGAATACGACAAGCTAGGTTTATCTTGCGAAGTTTCTTTTCAATAAATTACCCAAAACGGGATGGCTTCCAGGATACGGGCCGGTCCTTTGCCGCTGTCCCCGGTCATCTCGCCAATCAACATCATTGATAGTAGTTCGGTGGATGTACCAATGCTTACGGGTTACTTGTGGAGGGTGCGCACAGGCGTCCTGTCTCGCATCCCCTGCCGGAAGAATACACATAGGGGTTCGTAATCGTCCGAGCGCGTATCTTTCTTACAGTGGAATGCAATATGTTGGAATCTGGGCTGAAGTACTCCGTACCAGCGGTTGTAATCAATACAGCGTTGTACTCCTTAGCTTGGCACAATAAATGCTAAGCTAAATCAGACAAAAGCCTTTCCCGATTGGTGTATTGCTACGTACGAAACTGGTCTTGCCTCGGTTACTCAGCGAACGTGTAATTAAGTTCGAATTCAAACTAAATACCCTCTACTGTGCTTACAGCTGCAATGCAACGGTCGCTACTAAGGCTTATCAGAAAAGATAATCTACAGCCAGATGGATATTTCAAGGATGCCCCTACATCTTCCTGCGTTGGTCGTTCTCCTCATCGCATCTAAGAATAATTAGTAGAAGAAAAAACTATCATTATGTCATTTCCGAATTTTGAGCATGGACCTGGGTCTAGGTAAATGATACATCCCTTCGGCTTGCTGACTTCAAGCAGCTCATGTTAATTTAAGGAGTGGCGAAGAAGAGTGGATTCATATTACAGACCTTCGGGAGCGAAAACGAGTTCAAAATCGAGTGTCACAGAGAAATTACCGTACGTGGCTGACACTGGAGCCATGGTCTAGCGATGAATAACTAATAAATAACTGCATAGGTAGAAGATTAAAGGCAAAAATCCAAACACTGGAGAGAGAAAGAAATGCTTCGCGAGCTATGCTTGGGCTGAATGCGGAGGTACGATTGCTACACGTGCTCACTTATGATTCATTTTCTTACACTCACCTGTAGGCTCTCGATCCAACATTCGAACGTTTACATGGCTGCCATGTCTTTTCGACAGAGCAGGACGTCGAACAGCGTAGTGAGACGCTGCCTGCCACTGGAAGGCCAGCATCCACGGCCAATTCTCAGCCAGGACCGTCGTATGAGACAGCTGATAGATTTTTTGAAAGCATGATGCAAGTGACAGCGAAATGGGCAGAGCCTCCTGCTGAAAATATGGACTCAGACGATTTCATTGATACTGACTCTCAAGGTCAGGATCCGGAGCTACTTTAATTTGAAAGCCTTGCGTATCTGACAGTTCATAGGAATGATTGGATTTGGTAGAACAACTACTGGAAGCGCAAGTGGAGGCAGTGTATCTTCTTTGCCATCTCTTTTGATGTCCAATCCATCAACAGTGTCGTTTGACACAAATCCTACAGGGCAAAGGCGCCAGTCTATCACACAGCTTACAGGGCTTCTGGCCGACGCGGCATCCCGAGGACCTAATCGAGCAAACCATCCCATTTTCAACACTGGTATTCGGCCAGGTAAAGAGATATCAGGAACCAACGCCCCGCATGGCAACAAAAATGACACAGATTCCGCTTTTACACAGACGAGTCCTTTTTCATCGTCACAATACTTGACGAGTCTGGCTCCAGTATCAGCTTCAGAATCCCTAGTACCCGACCCGCTATCAGCAGCATCGCCCGAGGTAATCTTTACACGAATTTTGCTTCTGATGAAACAAGCAGGCTTTGAGGACATGGATTCTAGTAAGTCGTAGTCCATAGTTAAATCTTGAGCGTCTCCATACTGATGGCCTTTGCCTTGGGTTCAGTGGTCCAAGCTTATTACACAGCAAAGTTCCGCTACGACTCTGTTGTGCATTGGGCTCAGAAACGGAGTCGTGAAAAGAGACTTGGCCCTCTTCTCACCAGCCTAAGCCGCGAGTCGACAGAATGGCCAGTGGAACAAGCAGCGCAATACCAGGATGCTATTCTCGGAATAGCAGATGGTTTATGCGGGATGAATGTCAACGCGCACGCTACTACACCTGGTTCAGATGAATCGCCAAGTTTCTAAATAGCTGGCCATACTAAGTTCAAGACATCTTGCGTTTAGAAACGCCTTTGGCTTCCATAGTTTTGATATACACGAATATGGCAGGGAGCTCTGTATCTTGAGAGTAAAATCACAGTCACTTCGAACAAAGTACCTTACCCTGTAAACTTCCTTCTATCCCAATTTTGTTTCGTAGCGTACCAAAGTATCATTACAATTTCTAATGAAGCGCCTCCTTCCACGGCTTCTTCTTATCTTGGTGCGCCAAAGTTAAATCCCGCAACAACGTCATTCTAACGATGTTAGCCTTGCAATCACTCCGTCAGCCGGCGCCGCCGAGATAGCCCTCACGATCTCCAACTTCGTCTCAGGGTTCTCCAGCTTCATCCCAAACCTAGACACCAGGACTGCCACCAGACACAGTAGTTCGGACCTGGCAAAGCTTTTACCGATGCACCCTCTGGACCCGGCCAAGAAAGTGAGGTTGGCATAGTTGCTATCCGCCCCGCCACTGTTTGCTTGTCCCCGGGCTAGCCAGCGTTCAGGTCTGAACTCAGCAGCATCGACACCCCAGTGAGCCTCTTCGAGGTTTGTCGCGCCAGCTAGGATCAATAGCGTGGTGCCTTTGGGAATAAAGGTCCCAGCAAGCGATGTGTCGACTCCAGCCTCTCGCACTGTTGAAGGGACAGGCGGGTAGAAACGCAGAACTTCGTTACAGAATGCGTTCAGATAGGGGAGGGAGTCGATGTCTTGGGCATTGATAGCCTGGCCTGGCAGTAAGACGAGGTGACTGCGTACCTCATCCCGTAGTTGGGCCTGAGCCTTTGGATGTATGCATAGGGCATATACTGCCCACTGGAGCGATGCCGCGGTGGTCTCATGGCCAGCTACGAGAAAGGTAATGATTTGGTCTACCATATTTTTCTCCGAGAACATGCCACTTGATATGAGAAGCGATGCAATGTCTTTACGGTCATGATCGCCCTTGCTCAGTCGACCCTTTGTGTCCTTAACGATTTGCCGAGCATATCCTCGGATGTAATTGGCTGCTTGTTTGGATTCGCGATTCCATTTTGTAGGCAGTCGGAAGAACATCTTGAAGCCAAAGGTGAGCAAACTCAGTAGGATGAGGAGTCTAGTCCACACATTTGGCTTCATGTTCAGCTTTTGATACACCAGGTGAAATTCTGTGCTTGGATCCTGGACCGAGTTGAAGTCACGCCCCATGACGGCGAGGCCAATGATATCCAACGTTGCTCGTCCTGCCCAGTCACTGACTTGGATGGTGACTTGCTTCGAGCCATGTTGCCTTTGATCCTCGATGGCATTCGCCATCTCGACAGATTTGGACCAAAAGATAGGGTAGAGATCCTTGATATGTCGGTATGCCAAGGCAGGCAACAGACCTCGACGTTGCATCTGGTCATTACATGGTTAATCCTATTTTCGGTCCGATCTTTCTTATCTTTAGACTCACCTTGTGTTCTTCACCTTCTGCGAGAAGCACCCCATTCCCAGTAAATCGCTCAAGTTTGATTCTCAGCGACTCTGATTTGGGAAAGTCATAGACTTTGGGGCCCATCATCTCGCTAAGTGCTTGTGAGCCTACAACTATGATTCTTTCAATGTTTCCAGCCATATAGTATCTAATGAGTCCAGTGCTTGGGGCTTCTCTCGCCCATCTACGGGCCTGGTCATAGTCTAGGCCCATCGACCTTGAATTGCCTTTTAGCCATGATCTGCCCTGTTCACACCGCCGCAATTAGGTATTTCATCTAAAAAGAATTTTGGTAATGAGCTTACTTTTGGCGTTGGAATGTGCCTGACTGGGGAAAAGTAAACAGGATATAGAGTACACAGGTATAGCACTCTCAAGATGATAAATAATGTGAAAGATGCAACAATCGTCCAAAAATACGATTTCATGATTGAATAGTGGGGCGCGAATAGCACGACCGAGACTCCGGCCAATATAGGTATGATTTGCCATGGTAACTGCATTGCAGGAAAATAGGTATTCGCATTGAGAGGACGCCTATAACTCTGTACGAGATTGCTTCTGAACAGCAGACATAAGAAACAATATGCACTTTACGCCATGACTCTACTCAACGTCTTCTACTGCTGTGGCTGACATGATCGACTCAGGCATGATGCGTTCAGTGGGTAGTACGCGTAGACGGATCTTGCCGTACTGTTGGACTGGGGTGTTGAGCTAACATGTCCCGACTCCCGAGTTTAGAGAGTGAGACGGGCCGAGCCTGACTACAGCCTGAGTAAGCTCACATGACAGTTTAGATTACACGCGCCTTGCATAAGGCGGCATGTTTTCCCACGGCTCAGTTGTGCCGAACATCCCTGATAACGCAAGCCTCAGCTTACACTCCCAAGCGCCAAATCACAATGGCCCTGACGTTAGTTATGTAAGCATGCATCCTCGATTGCCTTCTTAGAGTACGTAGTTACTGAGTCCACCCACACAAGATAGCCACGAATAGTGATTGGCTTCTATTGTTTGTGGTTGAACGCTTATCTATACAGGGCTTATAGAGTGAAGAGTGACAAGGCAATGCCTACCTAGATATCATTGAGCTTGTTTCATCGCATCGATAATTATTTCGCTCAATTTGTTCATACTCTACTTCTACGGGACGAAAGATGGCGACCGTTCATGAGATGCCACCTTCAGCGCCACTTGTCACTCTTAAAGAACAAATTGAACTTGGCCTGGCCACAGCAGAGGGTCATCAGACCTGGACATCTGAATTCCAAAAGCCCAACTTGGCCCAAGTATCATCGTCGACCGCTCCATTGGCAAGTCTGCCTATATTTGAGCCCAGGAAAACGACTAGCCGTAAGGAGGCCTTCGAGCTTTCCTACATAAGGGCAAAAGCCCTCAATACACATTATGGTACGAACAAGCAGAGCAATATAGGCGTTGAAAAATCATGATTTAACCCTGGATTAGGACTCACAATTGATGACATTGTGAATCTCTCACCCAAATTCTTTGATATGCATAGAGATGACATAATTATTCGAGATATCGGTGCTCATGCGCTGCTGTCAATACAACACAACTTAGTAGCGGGTACCCTGGCACCATTCGCCAAAGAGTCAAGAAAGATCCAGGGACTGCTAGACGACGTGTTAACATTCAAAATCTCGTGAGTCTCTACCTTGATAGTTTCATTACCACCTCCGACAGATAACTAACAAATAGTAGAGCGGGCTTTATGCTAACGGAGATCGGACACGGTCTCGATGCCAAGAACTTGGAGACAGAGGTTAGACTGCAGTCTGATGGCACCTTTATTCTCCACACACCCAGGCTCGAGGCTTCTAAGTAGGAACATCTGCTTCTCGCCATAGTTTTCAAGTCACTAACTAACGTGATGAACCAGATTCGTTCCCCCTTCTATGCCCGTAGCTGGTATTCCACGCATTGCCGTGGTCATGGCAAAACTCATGGTGCGCGGCGAAGACTTTGGTCTTCGCCCTGTCGTGGTCGCCCTCAGTGACGGAAAACAAATGTGCAAGGGAGTAACATCTCGGTATGATCTTCTCATGGTCCACGATGTAATCCTATACTGAGATAAGAGTCTAGTCTTTTGCCTTATATGAGTGGAATTCAAGCCCCGTACGCTATCACTTCTTTCAACAACGTGGCCTTATCTAGCACCGCCGTTCTCGGAAACCTTGAAAAGCCTAGAAGTATGCGAGACAACTTCTTCCACCAAATCGCTCGGATTGCTCCAGGTACACTGGCAATGAGTATGATAATGATCCCTGCACTCAAGATCGTGACCTACGTCACCGGCAAATACAGTCTACGCCGTACTGTCGGCGTCGCCAACAAAGAAAGAATACCTATTTTTTGCTTCCGCACACAACAGATGCCGATATTGCATGCACTGGCCCAGCTTGCAGTAATGACGCCTTTTGCCAACAAGTGCATTGAGTGGTTTAAGGACACTTCCTTTGAGCCTCAAGTACGCCATGGATTCGCTGTCATCCTCAAAGCAGTCTTTATCCAAATGGCGCAGCGGAGTATTCCCGAGATGGTGGAACGATGCGGCGCCCAAGGCCTTTTTCAACACAACCAGATTTGTGATGCAGACGTGAGTTTTGCTTAGCGAGGGCTCTCTCTCTGCTAGAGAAGTGCTAATGCTTATCCAAAAGAATATGATACGTGCCTGTGCCATATCAGAGGGAGATGCATTGGTTGTCAGTATTCGTAAGTCGGTCAATTATGATCCTTATACTTCCATAAAGTGAAGCTAACGCCTTTCACACAGGCCTTGCTGTTGAGCTTTGTCTAGGCAAGTATGAGATGCCCTCTGCAACGAAGACAGACTGTCTGTTGGCCAAATACGAAGCTGGCCTGGCACAAGAAGCCTGGGACATCGTTAGCTCCATTCCGGCCGAGCACCATAGCCAGGAGTTCAACCGACTCTTCATCCCCCAATGCAAGCCACTAGTACTGGGTATTGGTCATAGAATGGTCTATGAGACTGCTCTGGCTGCTGGCGTGGATTCTGACCTCCTTGCTCTTTACGAGGCTGGTGCTGTCAAGGAGAATCTGGATTGGTACACTGAGAAGGGTCTCCTCACGAGGCAAAGCTTCCGTGAGATGGAGAATAGGGCTCTCGATTCTATTGAGCCTCGTCTGGATGAGCTCTTGAATGAGTTAAAGATGGAGTCATATGTCACGGCGCCGATTACCGAGCAGGGCCTATTTGATGACTTTGTGCAAGGATTGCCCACGTTTACCGGTGCAACAGAGTACTCTGTCCTTTGATTGGAAACCATGGATATTGCCTATTTCTTTTTTTTTGTTGAACATCAATCTCAGGTTTCTATTGTTCCTCTATTCCATCTCTGTCGCATCTTGTTTCATACGAGTGTATGGCTAAGAAGTATTACTAGATATGTTCTTGCAGTTGAGGCTTTTATCGAAGCTCTATGACCACAGAAAACTTGGTTGATATCAAATGTGCAGATTCATGCGACGGTGGAGAACATATAGAGTGTAGATGCCTGCAAGATATTGATAGCCTTCCGTCTTTGAGCTCTCTGTGGACGTGTGCTAGGCGTTCATCTCAGCTCTCCATGTTTTCTAAGACTCTCTTAGTGTTAGATGCTATGACCTACCGAACAGGTGTCAATACCATAACCTTGAGTCGTTATAAGAAAAGGAAACTTGGAATATTGAACAAAAGAATTCAAAACCATGCCGTTTGACTTTTGGAGTTATAAAGCTTTTGAGGTTATGTATGGAGGGTAGTGAAGGAACTGTCCATCTCTTCTTCAATCCAACTAAAACCTCTGCTCACTAGAAACCGGTCCCATAAACGTTCACCGTTCCAACCTATGCACGGGCGAACAACCTTTAATCACCGAGTTGTAGCTGTCGGTATACCCAAGACCGAACCTTTGCTTCGCATGCAAGATAAAATAAGACAACAAGCAAAAATGGAACTAAAAGCTTTCTGAAAACAACCCATAGCATTATCCGTAGCAGCTGGAACCAACGCCGACGACGACCAGCAAGGAAGGAGTTTTTATTGTTGACATTTGGGAAAGAAACTTTGGGCACGTCTTTCCCTAGGAACTTACACAGCGGTTCCCAGCCCTCACTGACATGATAGTTCAGCAAGCGCTCCGAGGGAACCATCTTGTTAATGTGTTTGTAGTGGTCAAGGTATGCCTGTCTTTCTCCGTTGGGTGCCAGTACGGGCCGTAGCGAATGTTGATACTTATGGTACTTCCACCAAAGTCCAATGCGATCCTGTTGAGTATTAGTGTCAGCGAGCTTTGAACAGATTCGAAATCTAGCGTGAGCTAACCGGATCCCAGGATGCCAGGTAATCAAACGTCTTCCATTTCGCAGCCGCATCGACTGACTCTTTCATAGAATGCTGCCATTTGTCGACATCGCGCGTGGTGAGGATGATCTTGGCGTTAGGGTAAGCCGCGATAAGCTCGTCTGCCATCAACGACCCTGGCATGTTACACGAGACGTCCCATTTGCCCAAGAACAACTTGTCGAATTCCTTTCGGCCGTAGGGCTCTATCTTGTGTTCGAACTTGGCCTGCATCGCCTCCATATATAGTGGGAGTAGATGGGGATACTGCTCCATCATGCTGGCGTGGAACGGCTTGTACCCTAGAACTTGGAAAGCTGCGAGTATCGCTGATTTGGTGGCATCCAGTCAGTGAGTTCTGGAGATTTGGTAGAGTGTGACTTACAGAGGGTTCCAGTGCGCGGCATGCCCAAGACAAGGACCTCGATGTTGGTACCATCTTCCGGTGGTTCGGGCTGTTGGTCAATCAAACGCATTGCTCCGGCCATCTTCGCTGGAGTCACAGTTTTGCTTCATGAATTGAAGACCAAAAGAAGCACTCAAGACCGAGCATGACGAAACTTTGGACCCCGTTTTGTCTCTCACAGGATATAACTATGACCTGAAATACGACTCAGGCGTCACAAAATGTCCAACACTGACTGGCCCTGTCGCAATGGACGCAGATACGGACGCCGACACGGACACGGACACGGATAAACGGATACTCAACACAGTCTAGCAGAGTAATCGGGAGTCAGTAGCCGACTGACGCCCCCGTGCAGCTAGCTATCTATCACTCACTGTGAGGTCAGGGTTGACTAACGCTGATTGCTTGGTCCTCTCCGGCGCACGGTCTACTACGTCTACGTGTACCAACCAACAGCAAAATGACTGCCTCAGGCATTAACAGGTTAGTACCTTGTAATTTGGAGCCAACGAATGAAGTTGTGTTTTGCCGTGATGTTGGTAACAATTGCCTCTTCTCTTGAATTGCGGAGCTCATTTGCCCAGAAATCACTTCTTGTTCTTCTGCTCGCTCTACTAATCCACTGCTATTGAAGATGCAGAACGACAGTAAAGAAACAACGACACTGCGACTTGCAGCTGACGAGAGCCCTACCACCGATGAAATCGCACAGACGGGACTTAATAACGAACCGATCCTTACAAGAGAACCATTTTCAATCGCTGCTGTACAGAATGAGGACGCGCCATGGTCGATATGGTCTCCGAAACAGAGAAAGATGATCATTCTGACAGCCTCTTTCGCGTCGCTGCTCTCTCCCCTCTCAAGCCAAATATACCTTCCTGCTCTTGACACCATCGCCAAGGACTTGAACGTCACGAACAGCCAGGTCAATTTATCAATCACGACATACTTGGTCCTTCAAGCTATCGCACCGACATTCACGGCCCAGCTATCCGATACCGTGGGTCGAAGACCTTTATACATGGCTTGTTTCGTCCTCTACATGGCGGCCAACCTCGGATTGGCTCTGCAAAATAACTACGCGGCGCTGTTGGTGCTACGATGCTTTCAGAGTGCTGGTAGCAGTGGGACCACGGCTTTGTCCAATGCCGTGGCGACAGATATTACGACGTCTGCCCAGCGTGGCAGCTACATTGTATATGCTGCAGCTATTCCAATGCTGGGACCAACGCTTGTAGGTAATCTTCACGTGCATTCATCGATACCGAGAGCTAACTGGCTCTTCAGGGTCCTATAGCTGGCGGTCTGCTCGCTCAATATCGCGGATGGCATTCCGTTTTCTGGTTTCTCTTCGGGTTGACTGGCGCTGTTGCAGTTCCCATGGCCATCTTGTTCCCTGAAACGTGTCGCGAAATCGTGGGCGACGGGTCTATCCCACCACAAAGCTGGAATCGATGCTATACGAACGTACGCATGGAACGGAGATTAATGAAAGAGGGCAAGGATGTGCCACACAATAAACGCAATGAGCTCGGAGCGTCACGATATGCTTATAGCTGGATTCCAAACCCCTCCAGCACAATCACGCTGCTGTTAGAAAGGGAGTGTGGCTTCACACTGCTCTACGGTTCGTTGCTCTGCTGCTCGTTCTATGCTACGCTCACTCTTATCCCCTCGCAATTCCACGAAATCTACGGCTTTAACGAGCTCCAAATCGCGTTATGCTTTATTCCTTTTGGAGTGGGTAGCCTCGTCGCCGCTTTCAACCGAGGGCGCATGCTTGACTCCAACTTCCGCCGTCACGCAACTCGTCTCGGCATCCCTACCGACAAGAACAAGCAGACGGATCTCACTAACTTCCCTATCGAGCGTGCGAGGCTTGAGGTCGCCCTGCCGACGATACTCTTAGGCAGCGCATGCATGGTCGGCTTCGGATGGACGCTGCACTACAAGACCAACCTAGCCGGGCCGCTGATCTTGTTATTTGTCATTGCATTTTGCCTCTCCGCTTCTCTGAACTGTGCTACATGTCTTATGCTGGACCTGTACCCGGGAAAGGCGGGCACTGTTACGGCTTCGAACAACCTGCTGCGTTGCTTGTTGGGAGCTGGCGCGACTGCTGCTGTGGTCCCGATGATCAACGCCACTGGAACTGGATGGACCTTGACTGTATTCGCCCTCCTCAATATCGTATCTCTGCCACTACTGTGGCATGTTATGAGGCATGGGCCGGGCTGGAGAGCTGAGACATCACGTAAGAAGGAGATGGAGCAAAACCGTGCAGTTGAATCGACGACCTAAGTAGGGCAGTGTTGTACATATTGATGAGAGAAGATGTTTATATTACATATTATCCAATAATCTTAACTGCCATCGCCGCGGACCTTTAGATCTTCACTCACGATAACCATGTAAAATGGTTCCACACACTTTCCGCTTTGCCTATCCCTGTAGGATGAGATGACAACTTTTAGAAGCGTAAGCTCTGCCCTTACTAACATCGATCAACCCCATATCAGAGATCAGAGCTGTATTTACGAGAGGATTGTGCAAGTCGTCATCAGTCTGTTCAAATAAGTCTTAGAATTGCAAAAGAATGATTAGCTAAATTGTTTTCGCTTTAGCTAGTCTGTCATACACCTGAGGGCTAAAGTAAGATGTCAATTGCAAATGACCGTCTTTGCCAATCCCGAAAGAGATATATGTATGTAAACCTCGCGAGGATGGCGTTTCGACTTCTTTCGTAAAGCCTTTGAGCATTTCCAAATACCGATCTTTGTATTTAGCCCGGTCGCGTTTCTCAAGGAATCCAATCAAACCGTGCGCAATAGCTAGGTCACTCCTCCCATAATGCCGCATGGGGATATATCCTTTCACATCTGGCAAATAAGACGAAGGCTTGATGTCAAAGTAAAACAGCATACCAGATGTTTCGTGGTCTACCCTTGGTAAATCATCGTCGTCCGAGATATCTTGATCGAGGTCCAGCGTAGCGCACCACAACTCCTTGATTTCATCGATAGAGTCTTCAGAAAGAGGTCTCCTTCCACCTAGCGACAAGATGGAAATGATGTGACTGAGCGAGGTACCGGGAGTTCGCATGTAGACCTTGATGCGTGACTTCTCTGGGGCCATACAGTCGATGCCCAAGATCAGCATTCGTAGCGTCTGACCGTTGGGGTCGGTGGCAAGGAAGTTGGAGAGGATTTTGAAAGCAGAAAGATAGCTTGAATCATCGCCATAGACATTTCTCATGGTTTCTTCAAAGCCATGGGAGAAGAAGTCCTGGCAGACACCAGAATCCCTGGGTACGAAGTAGGCCTTTACCGCGATGTTGTCCGCGCCGAGTTCATATGCAGTGAAAAGCGAACTTCCCCAGTCACCGTGGCAAATCTCGTTATTATGAGGGTCAAAGTCATGTAGAAACGCTTTGAACCACACAGGGTCAACGGAAGGGTCTGCGGCATGTAGGTGATCCATGACCTCAGTGGTCGATGCCCGGTTGTAGAGATCCAGGGCAGAACCCGCGTTTGGTCCAATATGCTCAACACTCAGCCGGATGCTCGGCGCTTCAGCATTGGTATCGCCCCATTTCCAACTATACTCGATGGGCGAAAAGTCGTCCGTCATGAAGCTCTTGAAGGCAGGCTGACCTAGGGAGCTAGGCCTCGGACCCATGCGAGGAACGATGACGTAGTAGTGGAACAAAAGACATTCGTACTGACGGGACAATGAGTAGCCGGCCTCGTGTAGCATTGTTGCAAGGTGTCTGCCCGTGACGTTCCACCAAAAGTCTTGACGAGCGCCCCGTCGTGGCAGCCATTTGTTTATCTTTTGCCAAACCGGCGCCTCATGGTCGCCGATGAGCAAAGACGCATCACCATCACTTTCGTGCCTCGACGACGTCTATAGTTGTCATAACTAATTAGTTTTACTTTTTTCCCTCGCCCCAATCAAAAGAGACAATTACCTGAACATCAGCAACATTACCCAGATTCGTGTTTTGTAAATACTGGTACGTCGTGCCTGTAGTCATTTTTCGAGCAGAGATAAACAGTGAAACAGACGAATCTTGACGGCTATACCCTACACTTTGGGGTCATTTTTTATTATTCCGTTATGATTCTATTAAATTTGGGTACTAATGGCTGCATGTAATGACCCCCCAGCTATTCTTTACCACTAACGAAACCTTCAAGTTCATTAGTCGGCCAGCATTACATCTGATCATGTAGTAACGCCGAGTTTCCGTAAAGCCAGCACGGTGGTCAAAGCTGGAAAAACGTCGCCGTGTTACCCGACTGCAAGAAGTAAGATAATCTAATGCTGACATTATCTCAGATCTGACTGTATACTTGATTTAACCTGCCGCGTACCAGCATGCATAACGTTTGAGATCCTTGTTTAAATCTGACTAAGGTTGACCCGATCGGGAACTACTTACTAAAGCTCCCCTTTCCGACTAGTACTTGCAACCAACTCGACAGGAGCTTTCTACTGATGGCACGTTCTTGTGTAGAATGCGGGGAATGCGTGTTGTCGGAAATTAGCTGTGATAAGAATATGGTCTAATATTTATGTAGGATAAGAAATGCAAAACCTTGATGCCTTACAATTACCAGACTTAAAGCAGAGATCTTGAGCCTCTTTGACCTGAGGCGCTTTATTATACTGTAATAAATTTTTGTTTTACAGAAATAAGGACCTATTTTATTTACCTAGCAGTTTTTCTATTCTGCTGTAACTGGTCTAATACTTGTATTGCAAAACAGGACGATTGAACCTGTTATCAAGACACTGTTATTCGTCATGGACAATTCATTCTCCCCGGTCATCAAAAGGTGCCGCAAGATCCTACGCTCATTGGTTTTATCAGGCGCATGGATCTATCAAAAAACATTGGGTCACACCGACAACTCAGCTCCATCTGGTACACTCATCATCACCGACAGTCGCACAGGCAGAAACTATAGTGTTCCAATTAGGAACAATGCTGTCAAAGCTCTGGACTTTATTCAAATCACAACGGCAGGCTTTGGCGCTGAGGCAGCCGATCACTATGATAACAGCCTCCGCGTTCTCGACAAGGGCCTATGGAATACTGCTGTCACCGAGACATCTATCACCTACATGTAAGGAAACCTTCAAAAGATTTATCTGGAATGTGTATGTTAACCCTGATCCAGTGATGGTAAAGCTGGCCATATGCAGTATAGAGACAAGACGATTGACGAGCTTTTCCACAACAACAACTATGAGGAAGTGGTCCATCTTATCATCTGGGGAACTCTTCCTACACAAGAACAGAAGATGAATCTTCGTCGCAAACTTGCCTCGCACATGAAACCGCCACCAGCAGTAGAAACTGCAATCAAGGCTTTTCCGTAAGTAAAATCAAGAACTCTAAATCCAATCCTTGAGCTAATATGGAACAACATGTAGTCCAGATGGATTGACCCATCCCATGCTCTTGGCTGGCATTGCAGCGTTTGCAGCTCATGACAAAGGATCTCAAGCGGTGCATAGATCGAGCAAGCCTGCATATCTGGGAAATATGGAAGACGTTGACGATGCCATTATTAGGACGCTAGCTGCACTAGCCACCACTGTCGCCATGGTATACTGCTATCGCAGAGGCCGTCCTTTCACCCAAGCTAGCCCCAATGAGTCATATATCGGTAACATTCTGCTAATGATGGGTCTTACGGAAGAAAGCAGTAGTACCACTCCAAACCGTAAGATAGAACATTGTCTAGAGCGTCTTTGGGTTCTCAACGCCGATCACGGAATGACCAACTCAACTGCCGTTTTCCTCGCCACAGCTTCCACGTTGCAGGATCCTCTATCATGTACCGTTGCCGCCGTGGCCTCAGCATACGGACCTCTTCACGGAGGCGCCGTTGAGATGGCCTACAAGGAGTTCGAGAGGGTTCAATGCGTCGAAAATGTGCCGCAGCTTATTTCTGATGTCAAGGCCAAGAAGTACCGTCTATTCGGATACGGCCATCGCATTTACAAGGTCAAGGACCCTCGAGGGCAGCTTGTGCGCCAGCTTATTGAAGAGTATAAGGAGGATGTCTACAAGAATTCGTTTCTCAGAGTGGCTATGGAGATTGACCGTGTTGCTGAGGAGGACTCGTACTTCACCTCACGTAACCTCAAGGCCAACGCAGACCTTTACGGTTGCTTCTTGTATACTGCCTTGTTTGTAAACCCTCAGTTTCTTCTTCCAACCCGTACTGACTTTATGAACAGGGGCATTGAAACTGATACTATTCTGTCACTTTCTTGTTTGTCACGTTCGCCTGGGGTTATGGCTCATTGGCGAGAAAGTATGGGTGAGTTTCGACACTACTATAATAGTGTTGGGTTAAAAACTAAACATCATATAGCTCAATCACCTGCAATATGGCGGCCTCAGCATATTTTCACTGGTACTATAGCTAAGGAAACCAATTACAAAGTCTAGGCCATTGTTCTGTAGGTTTAAAGAGGTCTATAGTTATAAAACAATTAACCTTTTGATAGCACTTTGCCAGAGTAGCTATTTCTATTATCAGAACAGTTTAAGCATACTATTAAATAAATATCCTATATATATAATTATTAATAGTCTTCTGAGTATACTTTATTTTGTAATAGTTCTTGGCTGATATACCCTTTTGCGTATAATGTTCTAGAGCTACTAAAATATATCCTTTGCCCTCCTTTTACTTCTGACAGAAGACTCTATCTTTTAGCTATTTCTTTTGCCTGTATGTCCATCTTTTTCGACAATGGCCTTACTAATCTTGTCTGTCGGAGACTCTATGTTCCAATTGATAGGTCTCGACAGTATGACTAACCTTCGCTTCGGCTTGGGAAGATGAAACAACAACATCATCCCCGAATAAAGCAGCGATCTCCTCGAGGCTTTTACCGGACTATTTTAGGTCAGTCTATGTTTTAGAAAGGCTAATCGACACCACTCACAGTTTCGGGTAGGAAGAAGAAGTAGAACACGGCGGCAGCGGCATTGGATGCAATGAAAAGTGAATAGTATCTGTAAACGGTTAGAAACTCGATTGAGTAATGCATTCGTATGAGATCTACGTACCGCCAGCTCACGTTAGCGATAGCCAGTGGCGTTATCTGAGACAAAACAATAGCCACTATCGCCTTGGTCGCAACAGCTAGAGCCATACCCTTAGTTCTCAAGAAGAAAGGGAAGAGCTCTGAAGGTACCACCCAAATCATGGCGTTGAAGAAGATAGCATAGCTCATGGAATAGAGGAAGATAGACGCAATGGCGCCTCTTGCACCGGCCTGGTTGTCGTTATGTGATGACCCAAACTCGGCGCTGAGAGCCATGCAAATAGCAATCATGACGCAGAGTACAATAGATCCACACCACAGTGTGCGAGTTCGAGGCATCTTATCCGCAACAAGGAAGAGGTAGATGATCTGACCGATGATGCCCATCATACCATAGACACCACTGATCAGTAGTGCAGTACGGCCTGTAAAGCCTACTGTTTGGTAGAAAACGCCTTGGAAATTCTGAAATGATAGATTAGCTCGATTCACAGCTTTATCGAGGTTGGAGGATGTACCTGGATTACGGATGACCCTGAGAGTTGACTCATAGTAACGATGAATGAAGCCGTTAGAGTCCGACGGATATACTTGCGGGAGAACATGAGTCCAAGCGCTGTGAGCCAGTCCAGATTACCCTGTTCCCTCTCGAGCTGAATTTGGGTTCGTATCTGCAAAAGCTCCTGCTCAACGAATGTCTCGTCATGGCCATTATCATGCAGGCGAGTAAGGACCTGTCCAGCCTCATCATACCGATCCTTCAATACCAACCAACGCGGGGAGAAGGGGACGAAGAAGATCATGACGACAAGCAGAACTGGAATAGGGAGCTGCATAGCAAGAGGAATCCTCCACTGTCCGTCTCCGTTGGCAAATGCCCCAGCGTATCCGATCCAATTGGCGACACCAAAGCCAATAGCAATCATCATTCCTTGGAGACCGACTAGAAAGCCGCGCTGGTCTGGCTTTGATACTTCGGCGAGATAAATTGGGACGACTGAGAGAATCTGGCCGCAGCCGATGCCTGCTACAAGACGACCTGCGATCATCATGCCTATGTTAACAGCGGCGCATTGGAGGACCGCGCCAATAATAGCTGTGCTTCAACGTTAGCGACTGGTACAGTCACCTGCGGACTCGTGCCACTTACTCAAAATGGACGCAATCATGATGGTGTATTTTCGGCTGAGCTTATCGGCAACGTATCCGGTGGTCAAGCCACCAATGGCCTGTCCGGCGTTGTACACGGAAACAATAGCTCCTTGATACGTGGTGTTGACCATCGATGGTCCGTAAATGGCGAGTTTGAAGCTGTCATGGCCGAAGGTTGTCGCAATGATGCCTATCATGATCTCTTGTTAGTCAACGGGTGGATGAGATTGGTGTTGAGATCATACCCGAGTCTAGGCCATAGATAAAGCCGCCCTGGCCCGCTACAAGAGCCACAGCCGTCGCAAGAAAACCCATATTGCTCGAATTCGTTGTGATATTGGATAAGGATTTGGGATACCAGGAGAGCGTTGGTTGGGTATTTGTAGTGGTTAGGACGTCTCTCCATCTTCTCCGCATCTGGGGCCCCAGATTCTACAACCCTACTACCCCGAGGTAACCCACTCCCTTGGGACCATAGGTGGCATTGGTTTGTAGCAAGAACAACCCGAGACACCGAACTCTCGGCCAGCCTTAGACCGAAGGACTTGTAGACCGGTCGGTTCGAAAGGCCTTTACAGTCAGTGAGAACTAGCTGTATTTTATGGCTGGCTCAGTTGACATTCGTTTTTACAAGCGTTTGACTGGGTCAAAGCCTCAATGCGTTGCCACTGCGGAATGGAGCCGTCCGTCTAATACGCCAAGAAACGAGGCTCTTTTCTAAGGAGGTTCCAATGCCAAGGACGGTGAATCCCACCGGCTTTGCAGAGACCTGATTGGTTGTCCTCGCTAGATGACCAATCGGATGCTACCAAAGCCGAATGATCGTCAGAGGCATCGAGGGTCACAGTCAACCTGCTCCGGTAAACTTCACCCGCCTGACTTTGGTCTGATCTCACGAAATACCAGATTGAGAAGTCTTTTCTGTCGACTTCATCTAAAATGATCTACGGGCGACTACAATTCGCTTCAAGCTGACCCGACTACCGAGACCGTCATATAACCTGAATAGGTTATACTTAACAGACGAAAGATTACAGTAACCTTTCTCAATATCCCCCAATCAACTCTGTAAACGAACCATGTCTAGTCCTCAAGTTGCAAGGCTCAAGTTCGACCATCACCACAATGGCCTCGGTGTAGACACGTCTAGACCTCGACTCTCGTGGTCTTTTGAAACGTCGCCCTCAACAGCTTCATCATGGGTACAAACTCGTTATGAAGTTGAGGTCACCTTGAACACAGGTGATACTGAGGTATTTACTATCGAAGGTGAAAAATCAGTTCTAGTACCATGGCCATCGAGGCAACTTTCGTCCCGCGAATCTGCATCGGTTCGAGTCAGGGTATACGGTAAAAGCCTCGAGGAAGACTCTCCCAGGCTAGAGCCAAGCCCTTGGTCGACAGCTGCGACAGTTGAAACTGCTCTTTTTGAAACCAGCGACTTCAAAGCGAATTTTATCACCTCGGCCGAACGAATTGGACCGTGCGGGCCGCTGCGACCGATCCGGTTCTTCAAAGAGTTCACTTTACCGCCCGACATAACGATTATTCCTCGTGCACGATTATATATAACAGCCCTTGGTGTATTTGAAGCAACTATCAACGGACAACGTGTCGGCAATGAGGTCCTGGCCCCAGGTTGGACGAGCTACAACCATCGCCTCATTTACCGTATCCATGATGTTACCTCGTTACTACTCCCAGGGAAGAAGAATATCATCAGTGTCGAAGTTGCTGAGGGTTGGTATGCAGGAAGACTCGGCTTCAAAGGTGGCAAGCGGTTCCGATATGGAGATGAGCTGGGGTTATTTGCTCAGCTCGAGGTCCAAGATGCAGCTGGTGAAGTGCCTTGGGACCTTATCTCAGACGATACTTGGTCATGCACCACGAGTCCAATCGTTGCAAGTGAGCTTTACGATGGCGAGGTTTACGATATGAATCATATACCTCCAAAACCTCTGAAGACGAGACTTCTTCCGAGGCCATCGGCTCGACTTTTAGCACCCGATATACCCCCTGTCCGTGTTACCGAGCCTATCTCCTGCAAGCGTGTCTTTACCAGCCAGAGCGGCAAGACAATCTTGGACTTTGGACAGAACCTCGTGGGCAAGCTCTTAGTATCAAGTCTCCCTACCCAGAAGGACAAATGCATCACTTTTCGTCACGCTGAGGTTATGGAAAACGGAGAGTTGGGAACACGACCACTTCGTGACGCAAAATGTCGTGATACCATCATTGGGTCTGGTGGGACGATATCGAATTGGTCACCGAAGTTCACCTTCCACGGCTTCCGGTATGTTGAGGTTGAAGGATGGCCTGGTGATGGTCCGTCGCCCGAGGACGTCCAAGCCGTTGTACTTCACACCGATATGGAACGACGAGGATTCTTTGAGTGCTCCAACCCTTATGTGAACCAACTCCACAAGAACATCGTCTGGTCAATGCGTGGCAACTTTCTTTCTCTACCAACAGATTGCCCGCAGCGAGATGAGCGTCTTGGGTGGACCGGCGATCTGCAAGTGTTCTGCCCAACGGCGACATACCTCTACGATACTCTAGGTATCCTCAGTAATTGGTTACAAGATGTGTCAGCAGAGCAACTGGAAGAAGGCAAGGGCGGTATCCCCCCTCTTGTGTGCCCCAACGCCATAAGTTCTAATTGGCCTCATATGGCTCAAGCAATATGGGATGATGTCACGGTCTTAGCTCCCGAAGCGTTATATCAGTATAGCTCAGATAAACATCTACTGGAGAGACAGTTTGAGAGTATGTATGCGTGGCTTGAGCAAGGTGTTGATAGAGCTCCAGATGGACTTTGGAACCCAGATAAGTGGCAGCTAGCAGATTGGTTAGATCCCAGCGCGCCACCTGAGGATCCTGGAAACGGACGAACTGACAGCATTCTCGTCGCTAATGCGTACCTTGTTCATACGACACTGGTCTTTTCCAAGCTTTGCTCTGTTCTTGGACAGTCAAAGCTAGCTACCAAGTTTGCCCAAGATGGGCAACGACTCAAGGCCCTCTTCCAGCGAAGATACATCACAGCAGAAGGCAACCTCATGTCAACATCTCAAACAGGCCTTGGCCTCGCCATAAGATTCGGTCTTTATCCTGAAAATGATGAACAACGCAAAACTGCTGGGAAAGCTCTCGATCGCCTCGTCCGCACCGCTCGCTTCCATATCAGCACAGGTTTCGCAGGAACACCAGTTATTTCCCATGCACTGTCTGAGATTGGCCGCTCACAACTAGCATATCGTATGCTGCTGGAGACGACGTGCCCCAGTTGGTTATACGCCGTGGTATCGCATGATGCGACGACCGTCTGGGAACGTTGGGATAGCATGTTGCCTGATGGACGCATCAATCCTGGTCAGATGACGAGTTTCAACCACTATGCTCTTGGGGCCGTGGGCGATTGGCTTCATGGGACAGTCGGCGGGATTGCACCCCGTGAACCAGGGTGGCGCGTCATTCGTGTTCGCCCTATTCCCGGGGGGAATATCACCAGTGCCAAGGTATCGTTTAATGGACCTTATGGACTTGTTGCATGTGAATGGAAGCATGAGGGTCAAAGGTTTAGTATGTTGCTGACCATTCCTCCCAATTGTTCAGCTCTAGTCACTCTGCCTTCAGAGGTGCGAAGAGACTTTAGCTGTGAGGTGGAGGCGACTAGAATTCTTTACTCTGGTCATCACTCGCTGGAATGCGAATTTGACGCTGGGGAATGGCCGTCTAAGCCAATGGTTGCAGCTAACCAACCCATGCCTGTAGATAGTATCGCTAGGTAGAACAGTGGTTATGAGTTTATGGAGATGCTTCAAAATCGCAAATAATTGAGGGCTTGCTATCTGGAAGAAATGATCTGGCTTCGTCAGGTAACGAATGGCACAATCATTCATCGCAACCTCCTTCACCATTCGTCGAGACGACCTTTTTTTCGATTGTAGATCAATATCCTAATATCTAGCTAAAGAGTCGCAATTTTCAGGCATCCAGCGCCTTAGTTACACGTCCATTGTCCATTTTCTACTAATCCATAGGTAGGGATAGTCTCAGAATGAATAGTCAGAGTCGAACAAAATATCTTCAGACTCTGTCGTCACGTCTTCTTCTGATCTTGTAGAAGATAAATCTTCGATAGGCCACTTATCCAGAACCGCTCGCTGCTTTGCTGACACTGGACAATTTTCTTCCAAAGCCTCCCTCACCATCTTTCGAGTTCTAGATCTAAATATTCGACGGTGTGAAACCACAAATGATACCGCATTGTACGCCATGTTAGTGTCCACAGCGTCTGATTGTATAAGCACGTACAAAAGTCGAAAGGCTGAGTCTCGTGCGATATTCTTAAGTCCTCTGATCTCTCTTCTCTCGTCTGGGTCCCAATCGTCCTTACCCTTCCTCATGTCGTACATAATGTCACGAATGGTGCGGCCTTCAGTGACATCAATAGCAAGAGAATCAAGAGTGTCGCAAAGAAGATGAAACTGGGAGAGCTCCATGGGCATGCGGCGAAAGAACTGTCGAAATCCCTTATCTACCCCGTAGCCGATCATTTCGGAGTAAGGTACATCGCCGTACTTTGCCCTCGTCGTCTCAATGGTCTTTTCCTGACTCCGGTCGAGCATGTCGGACACCACTGCCTCGTCCTGTGCGGTCGCTTTCATCTTCGGCTGTGTATTGCCTCTTTCTTCCCATTTGGAATATAGGAACTGAGGCAGCATATCTTCCTTTTCAGACCGGTAAAGTGACAATTTGCTTCCGCCTTCATATTTAACAGTAGCTTTCCCCCCATTTTGCCTGGTCAAGGTGGAGATTGCTTTAATTAGTGACGCTAAACGCTTCAGATCACTCTGGTTAAGCTCTTCCCATCTCTTAACCTGGGCTTCCACGTCCTCAACTTGTGGTACTTCAAACTTCCCTCGATAATGATATGCTCGCACGAGCTTTGAAGTTTGGGACACCCAGAGCTGTGCTGCGACTTCCGGTAAAGGCAAGTGTCTGCTAGTGGCTCGAGTTTTAATTTCAAGGATTGACTCGGGAGGCACTATTCGACCTTCTTCCGTGATGACCAATTTCGATTGGATAGGATTGACGCTTGAGGCGCTGGTGGCTGGCGATATGGACAAACCTCTCATACTGGCGAGCAGAGGGTCGTCTTTTGGCCCCTTGATCTTATCGGTGGCCACGTATCCGTCGGCTTCGTAGCGTACAACAAGTTCTAGGCCACAAAATCTATATGCGATGATCCTATGATGACCAGTGCTATCATTGACCTGCTTGACGGTGTATTCTTCTTCGAATTTATGGCCAAAGCCACGAAATTCATTTGGCGCAATAAACCTAGTAACTGCTGTCTCATCTCGGCGAAACAACGCGGTCGTCCCGATGATCTCTACCGCTATGGTAAATGGCTCAAGATCGCCAGGGGCCAAGTCAGAATTGATGAAAGCCAGTAGCTTGCGAATGTTGTTTCGATCGGTTACAACGTCAACAGGGCGGATATCGAAAGCAGGTTGTGTAAAGTATAAAGCGCGGAATAGCGGCTCTAGTGGACTCTCTGGATAGCGAGCTTCATTTTGGTTTATGTAATATAAGCCCGAATCCTTTTGGAGCTGCTTTGAGGTCTTGGGGGCTGACCAGAGAGGTGGGCTCCCTGGGACGGCGATTGTGGCAGTAGGCCTTTCAATCCAGTTGTAGGACGATAGATGTCTGACATTGGTAATTGATGCAGTGGTGCAAGTGCTAGAATCCTCAATATCGTGCCTCTTGATCTCGGCAATAGTGCTAGACGTCATGTTGAGATCAGACCACTGCAATAATGACCTATGCGTATTCAGTGTAATGATCGAGGACCGCAGAGACGCGTGGCGACTCCCCCATCTTAAGCAAAATGCCCCGCCCTAAGGACCCCTCTATACGCGCTTCGTTTAACACACTATTTGCTCGAGCTAGCTCGAGTTTCCAGTGTCCGATTGGTGAAGTGACTAGATGTGTTGCACAACATATACAACGTCTGCATCATATCTTAGTAGAATGTTCCCATATGCAAGTTCTTCTAAAGTTTCCCGTGGTTGCATAACGATTGGCTTCACTGGTGCCACGTCGGTCACTCGCAGACCATACGTTTCGTGAGGCTGCGAGCTGTTTCGCCAGTACGTGCTCTCTTATGGCCATGATTACTAGAACTTAGCAATCATTAATGTCAGCCTTTACAAAGAAACTATTCACTTAAGGAGTAAGATCGGCATCCCCAGCTTTGTTGTCCTCATTCGCGACATTTGGCATTCACCGCACCGAAGGGTTGTCGGTTGATGACTCAATATGACACGTTCTGTTGGGGTTCCAACCACTTGCACTCAGATGACGTGACTGATATTTAGGACTCGCAATAAACTCTAACGCATGCATGAGTAAACCAAGACTTTCACTACACTTCACATTCACTAGATGGGATGCTGCATCCAACCTTACCGCACACTCCTCTGTAGGAGGCCCACCATTGCGCTAGTTGTCCCAGTTTCGTCTGATAAGTACCCGATAGCGCCGTGGTATGATTTCCGTACGACGTACCCTACCACCACTATGGACTGTAGGACTAGGTCACGGGATTGCTAAGTAGGCCATGCTTTCCATTATGTACCGCAAGTGAAGGCTGTTGGAAAAATAACTCATAAGGCATAATACAGGAATTCAGAGATATTTGGGTGAAATATCAGTTGTGAAAAGTTATTCGGAATCATCAGAAGTGGTAAAACTAATCACATCCCTGAAGCCAACTGGCCACGACTGTTGATGGTCGGCCTCCTGCATCTACATTACGTGGCCTTTTCTTTCTTTCTTGCTTACCCCGCTCCTGCTCAACCCTTGTGATCAGTAACTGAGTCTAGATCTAAAGCGATATTCTATTTCGTCCTAGTTCGTTGTGCAGTATTTCTGACAAGTGTAGAAACCGTCAGCGCCATATCCATCGTAGGTCATCCACACGATAGCTTCACCGCTAAAACGTGGTAGAAGTGGCTAGAGTCATGTTGCAAGTGTATTAAGAAGAGATGTTTGTCGAAAAGGTAAATAGAATCCGAGGTCGACGGACAGAGGCGAAAATATCGATCGACCGGCTGGCTGAGCTCCAGCGAGATTGACAGTAATTATTAGATAGGTTGGAAGAACGTCCTTCCGGAGTTGTAGACGACAGATTAGGTTGCTCTACACTCGAGGAAGAAGGCCGTAGGGCCAAGCTAGGCGGAGGCATCTGCCTAACATAGGATCACAGTCTGACGGCATCGAGGTCTTGTACTTTCCCATAGGCACCACCAGTTTGAGTCGCTGTTTCCCGTTTTGTTATCGTTTCTTGCACGCCCAGTATTTAATACTATGGAGCTCAAAGCGAAACATCAAACCAGACTGCGCCTCCAGTATAACAGATCCTCCTCAAGACAAGATCTGATCAGTCATTACCTTGAAATATGTCAGCCGGCCATCAAACGCCTGAATTGTCCACATTGAGGCAATACAGACGGGAGATGCAGCGATTTCCATTAGGCCTTGTTTAGTGAGTGGTGTCAAGAGGTACATCATGCAAATGGTTATTCGGGCTAGCCTGAGCTTTTGACCAACATCACCGACCAGAAGTTTCAAAATCTTAAGAATTTCTACAAAGCTATCCGCGCATCTTAAGATATGCCGCCGTGACAAGTATTTATAGACATTTTCACCGCCCATAATGCCATTCATAAGTGATTGATAAGGCACCGCTATAGATAAAACGAGAAGTGGGCGAGAAATAGTCATGTCCGCGATGTCATCTACCTCCAATAGTGTATAAAAAGGATCCAGGTGCTGGCGTGGGACACCGCCGCAGGTGACAGTTATTTTCTCCATTAATATGATGCTTGAGGCATTTTTGACCAGGAGTTTTGCATAGACGCCGAGCGCTGGTGCAATTACAAAGCAAAAGGCTGGGCTGTCTCGAATAGTTGCAACTGGTCCATCACCACAAGCTTTTATTATGCAGGTGGTCAGACACATAGAAGGACGACGAAAGTGTTCCTTTCCCCTCTCAATACTATGCATAAGTTTCTTTAATAGGTTAACAATATACCCCAACAGAAGGCAGCCGGGACAAATGGAAGCTACACGCAATCTTCCACAAGTCTAATTGACTTCATTTAGAAACCCGTAAACAGCAAAGAGACCGGTAAATAGGGTCACAGGAGCAGCTCAGGATAAATCAGCGACGGTTCGTTCTGGCTCACGTTGGCTCACGACAAGGGAGAAAGTCGAAAGCAAATTTCTAGATCAACAGTCTGTGTAATAGGTATCCCACTCGTTCAATAGAGATAACGATTGCTTGGTGAGCCTGAGCGACCTTACTACTTTGGAGCAAGCATTTGCTTTGTACCGTCCACGCAGCTTAGCCAACGGGGCCTAGCATCAGAGTATGCTTCAAGTGTAGGTTGCATATCAAAGGCATCTAACGTCCCGACCTTGATGATAGTCAGGCCAGGAAAGGATTCGCCCTGCCGATAACAAGTGCTCCCACAATCACCACAAAAATAGCTGGTGATCCCATTTCCACTATCGGCTAGTTTCTGAAACACTTTTGGTGTGCCTTGAATGAGGTCGAGATTCTGCTGAGGGACCAAGATATTAGTGCTAAAGGCACTTCCGCTGATCTTGCGACAATCGCCACAGTGACAAAGGGCCTGCTTGAGTAATTAGCGGGCTGATACTTGTAAAGTTGTGTTTGCCAACAGATACTACGATTTAGTGGATACGTACCTGCACCACAGGATCTCCTGTGTAACGGTACCGGATATTTCCACATAAGCAGCCGCCTTCTACCATCTTGAATATATAATAAGCTTCTTCAAGATTGAAGAGAATTTACTTAGAGCAGAATTTTTCTCTGTGATTAGCAACATGAAGAAACTCTACGGTTGAGCTTTGTTGTCTTTTAAATGGGAATCCCAAAACGGTAATATTAAAGACCCGAGGTCCTCGGCATAATTGGTTGCGTACTCCATATTTAGCGTTATGTATGTTTGCATAACTGCCAATTCTCACAATTGATATAGATCTTCACTATATACACCTAAGAGAGGATCGAATTTCACTTTAATTATCGCCTTGAATTATAATATTCTTCACTATGGGACGACTTGACGGAAAGATAGCCATCGTGACTGGTTCTTCCAGCGGGATAGGCCGAGCAATTTCGCTAGAGTTTGCCCGAAATGGTGCTAAAGTGATCTGCGCAGATCTGACCGAGATAGCCCGCGCAGATGTTGCCTCTGAACTAGCTATCACAACGCACGATCTGGTCACAAAGGAAGGCGGAGTAGCCGAGTTCTTCAAGGTCGACGTTACCAAATCCGAAGAACAAGAGGCTTTAGTGAAATATACTGTCGAAAAGTTTGGCAGACTGGATATGTACGTCCCTCATCCCTGTTCTTGCATTGCAAAGATCTGGCATTTCGACCTTGTGCAAACTTCCAATGATAGCCTGGCTAACAGATCTGATTTCAAGAATGGTTAATAACGCCGGTGTTGCAATCGAAGCCAAGGATCCCCAACCTATCTGGAGCTTCGACCAAACCGTCTTTGAGAAGGACATTAATATCAACGTGGTTGGAGTCATGCTTGGATGCAAGTATGCTTCCGCCCAGATGATTAAACAAGATCCGCTCCCGTGTGGCGACAGAGGCTGGATTTTGAATACAGCAAGCGTTTTTGGCCTGGTTGGCAGCCCGGGTATCGCTGGTTATGTTGCATCCAAGCATGCTGTAATGGGGCTTACCAAAGTATCGGCATGGGATTGCGCGCCGCACCGAATCCATGTGAATGCTCTGTGTCCTGGGTGTAAGTGCTTTTCCTTTATGTCCAGCTACCCGAAACCCTATCACCACCAGAAAGTAACATTGCGCAGACACGGACACAGCCTTTATAGCTGGTCTTGAAGGACACAGCAGGGCCCAGGTGGAAGCACTCCACCCTTTCGGGGGGCTCGGACGTCCGGAATACATTGCAAGAGCGGCCTTGTTCTTGGTTTCAGAGGATAGTAGTTGGGTGACGGGTATAGGGTTACCTGTAGATGGGGGCTATACAGCATTTTAGTAAATGTTAAGCTATAGGTATTTGGGAGAAGTCTTGAAGTATTCGGTTAGTGCCTTAAATTGATTTTATGTTATTTCAACATGGCATTAAAATTTACAATAGCCTACATGTGTCGGCTGTGTTAGTTAGTGCTTCTCTGTTAAGTATCTCAGCCTCTTTGCTACGATTGCATCTATGATTTTTCTCATGGTGCTGTGTAGGTCTATCGGTCTGTATGCTTTAGGTGCTGTGTAATTTGCCTTTTCCCGGCCCTTTCGCGTGATGCTTGGGGTGTTATGCCTGTCACGTGGCCATTTTGCGAGCTTCTAGAGCGAAGACACGACGACACGATGCTGCCGCCTGTTCCACTCTCTCGCGATGTGTAGCTCTCGGTGCGTTTGGCATAACTCGCCCCTTCTGGTCCTGGCTGTGTATTCGCCTTCAGCGCTTCGGTTTTGCTAGAATTTCGGCGCATTAGTCGCTCCACCGTGCAGTGCAGCCGGGCAAGGATTTGCATGAGCAGCTGTAGCCTGGTCGGATTAATATCATTTAAACATTCCGCCCGTTCTAATAATTGGCTCTTATAAAATTTCTTGCATGGCTGCCTTTGCGATATATTCCATCATGTCAGACCTGTACATGAAATCCGCAACATTAGGATGGGTCCTTGGCTTAGTCATAGGATGGCTTTTTTAGACGTTCT